ATCAAATGGACATGGTCTCCCCAGATAAAATTCTGTGACGGGAAGTTGGGATAGGCAACTAGCAATCCTTCATGACTATCAAATCAGAATTCCTGGAGTCTAGAAAACTGCAATCTGCCGAGCACCCTGGGCAAGTCTGATCTTTACTGCAATTAAGAAGCATTGTTCTGCCTTTGGTTTTGCTTCCCCTTTACATCTTGCCCATCTTCTTGAGATGCTCCAGTTCTGCACTTACCAGACAAGCTCCCTGCTGCCAATACTCCCTCACATTCTCTCCGTGACCTATCAGTACCTTTCTCAGATTCATAGCAACTCCCAGAAGTGGCATCACATCCTCATCCTGCATAGCCATCAGGAGTTTCTGGTTAAGGCTGGTATATGGATACAAGAGGGACTTTCAGGACAGAGACAGGATAATTTTGCTCCTGTGGACTAAATGTGTCTCATAAGGAAAAGGCTATTATGAGTTTGGACACCAATCAGTAAGTGATTTTGATTTGGATAATTATTCATTTATAACCAATGGCTAGAGGTGGTAGCTTATTGTAAATACTTCATTCCAGAAATGCACAATGAGATTTAGGGATTTTCTTTGAATAACTTTCCATTTATTAACTAGGAACTATACATTTTCAGTGAAACACTTTGAGTAGTAATGTGTAGCTTGGTAATCCTCAGTGGATGGGAAAAGGTAAGTGTTTGTAGTTGGAAAACTAGCTAGCCATCCCCTTATCCTAGCATTTTGATTGGGTTTGGGTTATGGGATTTATATTTTGAATTTCAACTAACATTAATAGAAACTTTTTAATTAAATTATTTATTTATTCTAATTTGTTATACATGATGGCAGAATGCAGTTCATTTCATACTTTACATATGGAGCACAATTTTTGAAATCATTGATTGTACACAAAGTATTTCCACACCATTCGTGTCTTTATACAGGTACTTAGAGTAATGATATCTAACTCATTCCACCATCATTCCTACCCCTTCACCCCCTCCTTTCCCCTCCCTCCCCTTTGTCCTATCTAAAGTTCCTATATTCCTCCCATGCCCCCTGCCCATCGCCATTATGAGTCAGCATTTTCATATCAAAGAAAACATTTGGCCTTTGGTTTTTGGGGATTGGCTTACTTCACTTAGCATTATATTCTCCAACTTCATACATTTACCTAATCATATGGGAGCATGAATATAAAATTTAGAGACAGATATTAAATATCTAAACAAAACCAGTGATGAAAATCCCTAGAGAAAATATCTCTAACTTGTTTTTCTGATAACAGAAGAATTCAATATTTTTCTTATCATATCTGGAGGGAAATACTTTCATTTTTAGGATTTTTATTAGCTTTGATGGAGATAAAGCAAATAGTTTTGTATATTGTCTTTAACTTAATGGGAATACATATTCTTGGAAACACTAATTTTGTTGTCTTTAAGTTCTTCTTTTGTTAGTTACTGTACTTTGAACCTAGGGATGGTTTACCACTAAGCTATGTTCCCAGTTATTTTTATTTTTTTATTTTGAGACAGGGTCTTGATTTCTTTTTTTTTTTTGATGATGTTCTATTTATTTTTGTTTTTTAGATTGTTATTGTTTTGTTTTGTTTTCTGTGCTGGAGATCCAACCCAAGGTTTAGTGCATGCTAGGTGAGCACTCTACCACTAAGCTACATCCCTACACTGATGTTCTTTTTTGGTCGGGGGTTAACAGGGATTGAACTCAGGGGCACTCAACCACTGAGCCACATTTCAAACCCTGTTTTTTGTTTTATTTAGAGACAAGGTTTCACTGAATTGCTTAGTGCTTCACTTTTGCTGAGGCTGGCTTTGAACTCACAGTCTTCCTGCCTCAGCCTCCTGAGCTGCTGGGATTACAGACATGTGCCCCTGTGCCTGGCTCTGATGCTCTTCTTAGTGCCATTCTTATTGAGTATCTCTGATTATTAGGTAAACATTTCAATTATTGCCAACACGTGTAGAATAGGTTGTGTGAATATTTAAGTATCTTTTGCGCCTGTGGACTAGCACTGTGCTCTGTTTCTCCTCTTTTTTGTGCTAAGATGTCCAGTTATAATCACAATTCCTTCCTCCAAAGAAGGCAGCAGCACACTGTTCACAGGTCAAGACATTATGACAGTCACTAGGAATGTGCTGTCAGTACTCCAACAGCACGTGGATGACAATAATGTCCCTAATATTAGTGACTAATGCACTCTGCAAGAGGAGGTCATTCCTTTGCTTCTGTGGGTGAAGCCCAGCATGACATACAGAAGGAGATATGACTTCTGTAGTAGCACTGTGCCATCCTTAAGCAAGTCATTCTTAAATGCTCACACTGCAGAGGGTCTGTGGACACACAGGCCACATGCAGAAATGCCTACTGCAGCAAACATCTGACTCAGATTAGACAGCATAGTAGATGACAAATCAATCCAGTAAATTCAGGTAATTTCTTCTCCTGGGAATTTATTCTCTCATCTATAAAATAAGAGAGGTCAGACTAGATAATTTGGGGTGCCTCCCTGTTATTGTTAGTCATGACCATTCCAGTACTGCTCAAAGAAGATGTTATTGGTTAGATATCTTCCTAAACTAACCTGAGCTCATTCAACAAACCTATTATGAAGATGCTCCCCAAGGTTCTGATTAAGCAAGCTTTAACTTTGCACATGTGCACCCTAATGCAGCAAAATTCATGAGTGTGTTTCATAAACATAGACTTCCTCCACTACCCAGCCTCTCCTGTCACAAGACTTCACCGGGACTCAACCCAGGACATTCAGCATGGCAGAAATTGCCTGCATTTTGGTAAAGTGTGTGTTCCCTTCTTTCGATTATTTATTGAGTTTTCACCTTCTTCTGTGGAATTCTTGAGAGTTTTTAAATGTACTTACTCCAAGTACAAATCTTTTTCAGATTTTTTTTAATCTCCTAGTTACTTTTCATTTGCTTAATTGACACTTTTTCGATTTGACATAGTGTAGTTGTTAAGACAAAGCAGCTGATATGAGGGATGTCAGGGAGATTTAAATCCTCACCTTGGGATCTAAAGAAAATTGATTAACATTTATCAGAAAGTTTATATGAATAAATTTTAACATCATTTAGTGTGATTAATAAAAGGAATTACTTGAGATTTATAGGTGTTTCACTAAAAAAAGCAGTAGTCACCAAAGCTTAGTCGTTCTTTGTAACATCTGGATGTTTATACTTTTCTTTTACTCATTTGCCACCCTATCCTCTTTGCTAGATTAAAAGGATAGTCCAAAGAAGTAACTTCTTATAACTATGTAAATATCTTGAAATCTTAATCCTTTGATGTTTCTTAATCTATCTTAATGATGCCACGATTCTTGCCATGATTCTTCTTGCAGTTACTCTTCCTGTCCTTTCATGTTCAATAATTAAAATGCCTAAAAATGGAAGTGGCTGGTGATACTTATCTTCAGTAGAAATTGAAGTCTGAACCATTTTAATGCACCTATATGTAGTTTTTCTGAAGAACAGTGATTTTGACTTTGAATATTTGAAATATCCTGGGTTGGCATGCCCTCTATGATTATTATATGTATGTTTACAGAAAATGGTGCAATGTTAACTTTTTATAAATATTAGCCTTTTGATTAAATGAACTCTATAGCTGGCTGATGTGATTTATCTTACCAATAAACTATGAATTATAATATCAGGGTTTTATATGTGTCCATTTGTCAGAATAAAATTCTGACCTTTGGACTATAGTAATACTACTTTAGATACACCCATGTGAGGAGTTTCCACAAAGCAAGTGAACTATAAATGTATTCAGATAGCTTGACAGTTGTCATATTCTTCTTCCCTATTCTATAAAGCAATATATAACATTGTATGATGCACTGTGGTGTTTGGAGGAGAAAGAATTTTGTAATTTAAGGTAGCTTTTCATTTGTGGGAATAAAGTGTAGATTAAAATTGCATCAATAAAAGACAGATAAAGCTTGTTTATCATCATGTGTTTTAACAGGAAAATATCCTATCATAGATTCAGGAGTTATAAATCTTAGACTCACATTGATTTCTATTAACTGCCTCCCAGCCTAGTCAGTAATTTGACACCTGAAACAAGTCAAAAGTAGCTACAAGATAGTTGAGAATCTTAACCTAGAGGCTTGAGGAGTCAGAAGACCTGCATTAGTTGGTATTATAATTTTGTCTGTCTTTTTACCTGTCAGTTGAAGATAAGCGCCTTGCTATGTGAAAGGTTAGTGTGGTCACAGATTGTGAGACAATGCTTTGTAATAATCCTGCGTGATGCATGAACAAAAATATAGGAAGGAACATAATTTATCCAGAGTGCTTACCATAAGTTGAAATATTTTCAAATGTCAATGAGATTTGAAGAACTCTGCAATTTATCCTGCTTATAATCACAACCAATTGCCACTTCTTGTTCTGAAACTGTAGGTTCTCATGTGTCTGCATCCTCTAGGAGCTCAATTTTGCCTGTTGACTCAGAAGAGGGTTTAGCCTCGAGATGTGAAGGAAAGATGAGAGCATGAGCTACTTAATCTCCTGTCTAGTTCTAATCATTCTGACCAGCATTTGACCACTGCCCTTATCTCCTTCCTGCAAACTCAATTTTCTGCTATTCTTGTCTCTGCCTCCACTTCAAGCTTTCTGTTTTCCTCAATTGTTTATCCTCTCTTAGACTAAAAGGAGAGAATGAAGAAATGACCAACTTTGTAGCCTTCAGTATTGTCATGTTGAATTCATCACATATGTGTTATACACACACAGAACACAAAACTAGTTAATGATGTGTTCAAGCAAATTGCCAGCCTCTTCTGCTTTGCAGGTCCTGATTCTGTATGGATGACCTTAATCTCACTGGTTTATGTTGCTCTGGAATGGGAGGTATTTGCTGACAGTATTATTATTTGGGCATGGGGTCAGACCTAAGTATGACTCTTAAGAATTAAGAGTGTTTACTCTATTTTTATATCTATTTCTAGGGCAGGAGCGATTTGGCAACATGACCCGAGTGTATTACAAGGAAGCTGTTGGTGCTTTTGTAGTCTTTGATATATCCAGAGGCTCCACTTTTGAGGCAGTCTTAAAGTGGAAAAATGATCTGGATAGTAAAGTTCATCTTCCCAGTGGCAGCCCTATTCCTGCAGTCCTCTTAGCTAACAAGTGTGACCAGAAGAGGGATGCTGCCCAGAGTCCTCTCCAGATGGACCAGTTCTGCAAAGACCATGGCTTCACTGGCTGGTTTGAAACCTCTGCCAAGGTGAGATCTGCTCTGGATGAATCTGCCCTTCTGCTTACCTTCTCAGTTTGAGCCGTAACTGTTAAATATTTAGATGGATTTCTGTGAAGGGTTTTCAGAGGCCAGAAAAAGCAACACGTGGGTATATTATAGCTTTCCCCATTCTGTATCAGGAATGCTTAAAAACTGGATAATGGGGAAGTGAGTCAAAGGCCAGCCGAATATTTGCATTAAAATGAAAATGAGTAAATCAAGCAAATCAAGTGACATTTTCTGTGAGGTTTTTTTAATGGACATACTTCTTATGCTACTGGAGTGAGAGATAAGGTATATTGTCAGTTACAAGAATTTTTGACTTTTACAAAAGGCTTAAAGAATGTGGAGACATGCCTCTGGTGAAGGTGTATGTCATATAGAGGATAAACAAAGACATTGAACGGTCAGCAAGCATATTTATTCAGAAGATGTTTGAAAAGCTTTAGATTAACTGTGTAGGAAAGATTGGAACAAGAGGAAGCTGTCAATGTATATGTCAAGCTTCTTCATGAATAGTATAGTAGAATTTTTGTCTTCCATTGTTGGGAGCTGGATGAAATGTTTGTTTGAAGGGGAAAACCTAGTAAAGTGAATTTTCAAAAGCTTAACCATCTAGGTGTATAAAAAAAGGAAGGTGAAAATGAGAAGTACAAAATATGGGGAAGGTTGGGTGCAGCGGATGTTTCTATAAGAGGGTTAAATAGAATAATGATGATATTTGTGAAAATCCTGTGATGATAAGCACCAAATCCTGAATTTGATGTTCATAATAGAGTTCCAGCTTTTAGAATGTGCTCCGTAGGTTTCTTTTATGTATAAGCATGTGTGTGCGTGTGTATCATTGTTCCTCCAAATCACCTCCCTCTTCTGGAGACTGAACGCTAGTTTACTTTTGGTTTTACTAGAAACTTCCCTTTAAATGAAAGATAATTTGATGTCAGTGGTGATCATAATGATGAAAGACTCTACTGAGGGGTCACCTTGGGATGTTAAGTGATGGTGGAGTCTCAGGACAAAAAGAGTGTCTCCTGGATGCAGGAGTGTGCATACCTATGCCGCAGACTCCTTGTTTAGATAAATATGCATCTGACTTTTTTTCACAAATGAAAAATTGCATCACAAGAAAGATGAAGTCCTGAGATGGTGCATCAGCACTCATCTGGCAGGAAGGATGAAGTGTCCAGAGGAAAGGATTCCAAAGAGAAAGAATTTTTCAGGGCTACAGCTCTGTCTGCTAAGTGAATTGCCTTAACTTTCTAGCTTCATTAAAAAGAAAAAAAAAAGCATAACAGTACATGAAAATGTTTATGCAAGCATATCATTTGGTTGTATAGTTTTTCTATATTGCAGATAAAATTCCACTTTAAGTTTTATTTGGCTTAATATTTCAGCTAATAGGTGGATATTTTCTCCCAGAAACTACATGTAAGGTGTCATAAATGATGATGTCACGTGATGTATAATTTGAGAGTGTGTAAGCAATTTGCTTTGTTATATTTACAAATGAAATTACATGGATAGGTGAGGGGAAAATTGGTTAAAAGGGTCAGGTATGTTCTACGCTTCCCTACAAATATATTAAAAATGGCTTTTAGAGAATTTCCTGTGTAATAAGCCAGGAATCTTCAGAAAGTAAAACAGTAACATGAATTTTAAGTTAAAAATTTTGAGTCAAGCTTCAAGTATTGCCTAAGTGTCATTAATAGTTATACTTTAGAGCCAGCCATCTGATTTTTGCTTGGATTCCAGTGGTCAGCATTCTAATAGGAATACAGCCAAAAGACAATTTGAATTTGTGAATTTCATCCTTTCCCTTTTATGGAAAAACACCACCATTTTCTGACTTTAAACTTTGAGATTGATTTTACTAAAATATAGAAATTTGTTTGGGAATTATAACCAAATGCAGCTAGAGAATTTTATAATTATTGATGTGATGGATATGATGTGGATTGGATAACAATTGGACATCTGAAGATCTATATTTCTGCTAAAGTTAATTCTTATCTTGGGAACAAAGTTTTAAAGAACTATTGATGCTATGAAAGAAACCTAAACAAATAGCACAACTCTTCCAGGTTTCCCTGGTCTGAGAAAGGGAATACAAATAGTGAATCTCATGGTATTGAATTCAGTTGGAGATTTCAATATAAACATGTTTCATATATAAATATGTATAGTTCCATATACATATATACACACAGATTTATAAAGAGAAATTAACAGAAAAGTAAAGGTGTGTGTGGGTGTGTGTGTTTAACTAGCTCTATCTGCTGAGAGGGGTTGGAAGCAATGACACTGTAATATTAGTGAACCTACCTAGTCCTCAGAAATTTTTTTTTGAATAGTTTTAAAGTTAAAAGACTTAGGATGACTGGAAAAATAATTGACTCCATGGCTGGGGGAACTGACATGTAAAGATGTACCTGAGATGTTCTATGGTTCCAGAAACTAAAAAAGGATTCACCAGATGTGAGGCATGTCACAAACACATGGGAGCCTGCATGTAAGAGCAACAAAGTAAAATTGAAGCAAATAATCCATAATATGCATAAATAAATGTTAAATACTTGAGGAAGAACCTTTCCTTAACAGTGGAGTCTCAAATAATAAATGTAGAAGGAATGATGGAATTAAAAAGTCAACTGTTAAACCCTGCAGTAATAATAATTGTTTTAAGGAGGAAATAATAGATCTAACAACAGTGAGGAAAAGCATGGTGAGAAACAGAGTACTTACGTATTTGCACTTACTGAGTACAAAGGGGAAAGCTGGTAACATCTTAGTTGATAACAAGCCTGGCAGCATGACATTAATTTGTGTGTCTCCTGATAGTCTGAGAAGGACACAGGCTCCTGTCTTAGTCCTGCCGAGAAAGTAAAACTTGAATGATAAGGAAACATCAGGCAGGCTCAGAATGAGGGGTATTCTCTGGCTAGTGGTCTCCAAGAGGGCACTGAGGAACCATTCCAGATGAAAGGAGCCCAGGGACACGTGGCAACAGAATATAGCTTGTGGAGCTGCGTCAGAAACAGGCCTTGAGACAGTTGGTGGAATTTAAGTAAGGTTGATAGATTAAGGTTGACACAATAATGTTATCTCATTTCCTGATTTCAGAAGTTGTACTCTGGTTTATCTAAGCTGTTAACTTTTGAGGAATGAGTGAAGAGTATACAGTAAATCATACTATTGTGATATTTTGCAAAATCTGAACTTATTTTATAAAGCAAGAACAGTATTTGCTATGTGCTGCTTATTATGTGTTCTCTGATAACTTCTAAAATAGTCACACAAATGCTGTGATAGCTAATAATTCCTTAGGATATCCTTAATGGACATCACACTCACAACATCATTATGCATGACAACTGAAAGTAGCAATCTGTACTCACAGATGGAGGAGCAGTGTGGTACATTTTTTTTATGTGGTTTGAGCCCTTTCACAGTTTTCTTCTTAATATATACTGAATATTTGAATTACATCTTTGTTATGGCTTGGATCTAGAATGTCCCCCAAAGTCTCACATGTAGAAAGCTTGGTCCCCAACGCAGCAGTATTCAGAGGTGGGGCTTTTAGGAAGGTGATTGCATCATGGGAACTTCAGCTACATCAGTGGATCAATCCATTGATTGATTCATAATTTGAATGGATTATCAGGAGGTGGTGGAAACTCCAGGAAGTGGGGTATAATTGGAGAAAGTAGGTCACTGGGGCTGTCCCCTGGAAGGGTGAATCATATTCCTTTCTCGTTTCTGCTTCCTGGCTGCCATGAGGTAAGTAGCTCTCCTCTGCCACACCCTTCTGCCATATAGTGTTCTGCCTTTCCTCAGGTCCAAGTCATGGAAATCAGCTGACCATGGACAGAAACCTCTGAAATCATGAGCCAAAATAAATCTTCCTTTAAGTTGATTTTTTTTTTTTTCAGGTGTTAGTCACAGCAATAAAAAGCTGACTAACACAGCATTCAAGGGCACCGATTTTCTAATCTGAATGCCTTCCATCTATGTGTCAACCCAGTGCATCTCCACAGGGCACTGCTGCTCATTTGAAAGTAGAACAGGTGGAGAGGTATCCCTGCTAGTCGCCCTGCAGCTGAATAGATGACCCCTAGGTTGGCTTTGGTTGTTGCTGCCAACATCTGTAGGATCATATTTACATTTTCAACCATTGAGGTAGCACATTGAGCCTCGATGACAAAAGTTACAACAGGAACATCAAATAGGGTGTCCATGCTAAAAAGAAGAGGGTTCTTTTCATAGACACATGACTCAGTGGCATTGAACTCTTAATGTGCACTTTATTACTAAAGAAAATGGTAGCTGGTATACTTACAGTGCCCCCTCTGGCAAATTTCCCTAGTTGTCCTTAGTACTCAATGCTTTACTCTAAGAATGGACCAGACCACTGATTCTGTTCTTTGCTTCTGTATTACAGGATAACATAAACATAGATGAAGCCGCCCGGTTCCTTGTGGAGAATATTCTCACAAACCACCAAAGCTTTTCTAGTGAAGAAAATGATGAGGGCATAATTAAACTGGATCCGAAGAGCATGACAGAAGCACGCAGATCCCAGTGCTGCTGACGTGGCTTCTGGTTCTCATGTGCCTGCCTCAGTCCTAAGCATGTGCCCAAGAATGTTGATCAGTAACCCTCTGCACTGTTAATCTCCCCACAGGTGCACATCACAGTGCAACTCCACAGGGCACCGCTGCTCATTTGAAAGTGGAACAGTTGGAGAAGTATCCCTGCTAGTGGCCCTGCAGCTAAATAGATGACCCCCACCTAGGCTTTTGTTATCGTTGCCATCATCTGCAGGATCATGTTTACATCCCTTTAAACAGCTCTGTAAATGATTCCAATGGTAGCTCTTAGTGTAAATGCTCGGGGTGGTAATAAAGCTTCCCTGTGGTGTTCCTTCCATTTTGAGTATGTCTTTGTCCCCATATTCCATCCTCACTCTACAAAGAGGGTGTTAGATACAAACGCTTGGAAGTTCATGTTTAGTAACTTGATTTCCTCTTTCTTTTTTTTTCTTATTTTGGTACTGGGAATTGAACCCAGGGACACTTAACCACTGAGTCACATCCTTAGCCCTTTTTATATTTTATTTTGAGATAGAGTCTCACTCAGTTGCCAAGGTTGGCATTGAACTTACAATTTTCCTGCCTCTGCCTAGAAAGTCAGGGAGATTCCAGAAGTGCTCCACCATGCTTGGCTAGCAATTATATTTTCTATTCAGAACTTCAGTACTTTATGTAAAATTGTTACCCTTAATTATGTAATTATAGCAGTCATGGCTGGTGTAGAATGGGTCACACTCCCCCTTTAACACTTTAAGGTGCCATTCCTAATTACTCAGAAAGTGTTCCCGCAACACCTGTATGTTGGATGCCTCCTTCGGATTTGTTTGCTGTCACTTAGAAACAATGTAAATGACCATTTCTTCTCTCCTCTCTCCTTGTGTGCTTATGCTGCTCCCCAAGGGCCTCCTTGACTGGCTGTTGGAATTTGCTCTAACCAGAGTTAGGCTTTGCAGGTCTGTAATGGCAATGGTCACAAGGCAGCTATTTTCAGAGTACATAAAATTATACTTCAGCTTCTATATTGTGAGATGTGAAAGAAACTAAGTCATGTTAGTTTTTGTAGAAGATTTTAGACATTTAAAATATAATGCTTGAGAAACCTACGGCCGATTCACAATATTTCTATTACCACTTAACCCAAAGGAGGAAAAGAATAAATATTTTAACTAAAGCCCATGTTTTAAACTAATGTTCTAAGAAGATACTTTCTGCCTTAGAAAACTTTGTGTCTGTTCACTTTTGCTGTTTATTTTATTTTTTTTAATTTTTATTTATTTTTATTGCTTAATTTTCGGCGGACACAACATCTTTTTGTGTATGTGGTGCTGAGGATCGAACCCGGGCCTCACGCATACCAGGCGAGCGCGCTATCGCTTGAGCCATATCCCCAGCCCTTGCTGTTTATTTTTGAAAGATATATTATGTGAAAGCTCCAACTTATTTCTTTCAAAGAAATGTTAAAGGTCTTTGTGTCCTAGTCCAAAAGTAACACAAAATGAGATGTTGGCCAAATTTGTCTCATTTTTTAAGTGAACTTAGTAGAAAAGATCCTTACATTTTTTGAGAATAGGGAGAAAACCAACACAGGCCTGCATTTGCACTGACAGGTGTGTTCTGTCAATAAATAGAAGTTGCTCTTGGCCATAAGGCATAGATCATTCTGTTCCTTAAACCCAAATCACACAGATGATCTCTTTAGACAGGTATTCTACATAGAATCAGAATTTCTGAGGTAAAGAAATAGAAGATGTTGATTTAATTAATCATCATAATTCAACTAGTATTGTGTTAATCTCATGTCATGAAATTACCAATGGTCTAATCTGCTACATGTATGTCAGTAATTCAATAATATTTCTAAAAGTGATTGTTGTCAAAAATTGTAACTTTTCAAGGTATAATTTGTTTCCTGAGAAACATATGAAACATTCATATTGCTTAATGAAAATTCCTTCAGGCCTGCAGAGTTAGCTTTCTAAGGATGGAGCTCAGAAGTATATTTTTACAAAAAAAAAAAAATCTGATGTTCTTGTTGAAAACTTCCTATATTTAATAGCATTAGTAAAATGTTATTCAGTTTAAAATGTATGGTATTAATCAAAACATGAATACTCAAAATATAGCACTTTCTTTTCCGCTTATAAATCATTGTTATTATAAAGTCTGAATACTTTGAACAATGGAAAAGCAGTAAAAATCTGCTTTCATGAACTGAATGTAACAGAGACTTAGGGTTTTGACCGGTTAGAGTTATCTCCAAGTATTGTTGCTCCCACCAGTTAACCCTTTGGGGATAAAGTAAGTCACAATTCAATCTCACCTCTCAACATGATATAATGTGGAAATTAGTTTAAATGTAAACATAAGAAAAATAGTACAAAAACTTTGGCATGGATGGAGAAAGTTTGATGTTAAGATCTTTTTACATTGTCAAATGCTAAAAGCCAAAGAGGAAAAGATAAATACTTTTGATTACAACAAATTATCTTCTGGAGCAAGATGAAATAAGCAAAGTTAAGCAACAGACAAAAGAAAATAAATTAATCTCTCCAATTTGGTGAGGCTTAACAAAGGCAATGAGTAAAAATGGGCAAAGGATGCAAAACCACCATTTTTACAGAAAAGGTATGCATGTGTCAAATATTAGTAAGGAAAAAAGTAGAAAATAAAGCCAGTAATATTAGATTCATAAAAATGTGTAAGTTTGATTATGTCTTTCATATTCATGTACATATATAAAAATAGGTACTCATATATTGCTGTTGAATTTAATTTATCTAAATAGATGCTACCAAGTTTTCTCCCCAAACTGCTATTCAGTTTACCTTAACTAGTCCATGTCTTACCAAGAAGTGAACCTGTTAATCAATAGGGAAATATACTTCAAAACCAAATCCCTTCCTGATCCAGAAAATTTCTCTGTAGAGATATAAGATAAATGAGTGTTTTATTATTGAATAAGTGTTAAATCAAAATGTGATGCAAATTACAGGAAATCCAATAAGAGTTTGCAAAGACAAGAGGAAATTTCATTCTTTTATATATTCAGGCTACAGTTATCTCCATCAGGGAGATTCAGCACATTACATATCTCAATATAAACAATAACTAGTCCTCCATCAAAAGGACTAAGCAGTTCATCCTAAATCCACTTAGAAATTAGATGATCATCCTTATTAGCCAGCTGTTTTTATCTAAAGGAAAGATTAGTTTCTCAGGGCTGTATGAGAAAAGGTAGGTTTGTGACTTGGTGTGAGGTACTTACCAGGTTCAAGGCTTCTACCCCACCCACTATAGAAGCTATGAAGTAGAGGACTATCCTCCCTGATGATCACATTTCAGAGCTGGACTCCCAGGCCCTCAAGAAAGCTAGTGAGTGGGCTAAGTTAGTTTATAAAAGAATTAGCACATTTCAAACAGAGAAATAACTTGAAACGTTTTTAATATAATGGAAAAGGATGTTTAAGAGTCTCTTCCCCTTCATTTTCAACACAGGGAATTAAGCTTAACATTTTAAAAGTATTTGTTCTTACTGTCAACTGTGGATAAGTACCTTCTTGGGAGTATACGGGGAAGAAGATAACGAAGTCTCTTCACCACAGCATTGTTATATACATTTATGGGAAAAAATAGAAACAATCTAAATGCCCTTCTGTAGGAAAAAAGTAAAAACAGTCAATGCTATATCCATAGTAGGAGATATTGTACAGTAGTGTGGTAACATTTATATAAAAATATGTATAAAGAATTTAAAGACTTAGTGAGCCATCTGGAAAGGTTGCATTTGCCTCAGAGAGGTGCCAGAATTGGTGATGTTGGTCAAAGCCGAGTTTAGCTTTAGACAATGTTTACATTTTCATGGCAATGGATTACAAGTGTTATTGACAATTTATTTCACCCTAATCACAGTGTTTTCTACACTATCATTGGAATGGAAAGAAGCAATTCCATTTGGAACATAGTGCTTTAAAAAAACAAAAAGTAGTTTGAATTATACTATTATACTATTTTTTTACTACATTAATCACATCATCACTGATTTTACCCATCCCAGATATTACATATCTGGTTTATTTAACAAATCTGTTAATTGCTTAAAGATTAATAGCACAAAATATCAAACTTAGAATTAAAGTGTATGTCTACATTTCCATGGGGTGAATTTTTGTTGTTCATTTTAGAGAGTGTTCAAAGACAGACAACTGCCATTTGAAGAACAGGATTTATATGCATGTAAAACCACCTTATGTTTTTCCTATATAAGCTTCTGTTTTGAAAGATGAACCTGTGAAGACATGATTCAAGTTCTGGAAGTGTAGCTTAGTGGTGGAGTTCTTGCCTAGCATGGGTTTAATCCCCAGCACTGAAAAAAAAGAAAAGAAAAGGAAAAAAAAGAAAAATTTAAATTTTTGTTTCTTTATGTGGTGCATATATGGGAGAGGAGAAAGATGAGATGATCAGTTGTAGAGTTACATTTAAAGGACTACTGATTCAATTTACATATTAGTGATTCAATCCACTATTTCTGAAAAGTCACTTTAATACCTGGTATTCTCCAACACTTCCATTGACATTTCCCAAACCAGATTCATCAAATTCATTGTTTTTCAGTCTTCTTACTGCTGTCAAAATGGCTCTGAATTTTTATTTTTTTGTATTGATTTTTAAAAAACAAATGACAGCAGAATGTTTTACAATCATATTACACATATAGGGCACATTTTTTCATACCTCTGGTTGTATATAAAGTATGTTCACACCAATTCGTGTCTTCATTACATGACCATCACATTCCACCATCAGTCTCTGAAGTTTTAAATGTTTCTATATTACAATCTAATAAATTATGATTATGTTCTTGAGATAACATGCAATGGCCAGGCATTGTGGCACACACCTGTAGTCTCAGATACTCTGGAGGTTGAGATAGGAGAATTGCAATGAGGCCAGCCTGGGAATGTATGGAGAACCCTGGGAACATATTTCAGTGACAGAACACACCTAGGTTCAATTTCCAGTACTGTACAAAATAAAATAACATGATGCTGTTTTGTAGTTGCATGATTATTTGCGTGAATTTATAGCATGCATTTATAGAACCTTTGCTTTTCTGTCTATAGTCTTAAGAGTCATGCTGTTAAATTGTGATTTGAGAGCCTAAAGAACTTTAAAGGAATACAGCAATTGCTTTAAATGGGGTCTTATGATAATGATGATTAAATCTAACTTCAATTTCAGTTCCATACTGCTTTTCTTGTCTATCTGTAGTGAAAGACTTATTTCTATGGATTTAGTTGTTTTCTTTTTTTTGTTATTGTTGATTACAAACTTAAGTAG